CATCACCATCATAAGAAAGTCACTGCTGGAAATAAGCCTGACATCAGATTTGTGCCTCAGGTCACCCGAGTCTACCCCATCCTCTCTGGAAAACTGCCCCCAAGATCAGGGTGTTATCTTCCATCGCTATATTAGTGGAATGGAGTCCTCGTCCTTTACTGGGACCATACATTCTTCTGCTACTCAAGTATCTTAAAAGCCATGATGACCCTCAACTGTTCTTCAGTGGGTCCATGTGTTCATCAGAGCCTGAGATACCCACATAGTGGTGAAGGCAGAAGTTCTTCAGGTCCCAATTATTAACCCCTAACTACTAATCTATATATTTCTACATGGCCTTATCTTACCAGAGAACGTCTGGCACGTCCTATCTGCCTGGTCTCTACATGGCATCTCTCACGGCCTCCCTCTCCCCAGCATTCTCCTGGTCTCCTGGCCACGCCTATCTTCCTGCTTCTACTAGCCAATCGTGTTTTATTCATCAACCAATAAGAGAAACATATATACAGAAGGACACTCCCCCCATCATAGTTGTGTCTGCAAAAATCAGGAATTAGGACTAGGAACACACTGAATGTTTGATAGCTACAGCCTATCAGGTGAGTTCTTCATTAGCCCCATGAATGTCACAGCAAGCTCTGAGGGCATTTCACCATGACCCAAGAAGGCTTAAATTAAAACCTCAGGAGACTTGAGTCTCTGTAAGTCACCCAAGAGCACATAGACATTCACATGACATTTTCCGAGACTCAGTCTCTTGATCTTGTACAAATTCTCACAACACAATCTCAGGACTCTGACCCATAGATTAACAGAGGACTATTATGAAGATGAAGTAAAGACCCGTATTCTGGCCCCATCTACAGGAAGTGACCGCCCTGAGCATTTGATAAAGATGCTCATGGTTTGGACGTGTGATGCCATCCATAGGCCCCTGTGTTTGACCAGGAGCCTATGGAGGGCATAGGTGCTATCCCTAGATAACACCACTGTTTGTGGGGAGGTTCTGAAACCTGCTGAGGGAGAGCCTTGCAGGAGGAAACAAGCCCTTTGGTGCAGACCTTGAGGTTTCCTATTGCATCCCTATCCTCCATCAGCTCTCTGCTTCATGATCCACCCAAACATGAGCAAGCGGCCTCCTACAACGGAGGAGCACCCAGCCACTCCTAACCCCCATGCCTTCCCAGCCACCATGAACTGTACCTGCATTAGGTGGCTTCTTGTCAGGTATTTTGGGTCACAGCGACAAGAAAGTGACCAATGCTCCATAAACTGCAATATTTTGTTAACTAGACTACAACACGGTGGCAAAGGGAACGCACAACGAGGAGGCAAGCAAAGCCACATGAGGCGTGGGGAGAAATGTGCTTTGAGGCCATGGTGGGTTTCAATGCCACTCACAGGGAGGCGGAAAACTCACTTCCACAGCGCTGCTGACAGCACCGCACAAAGTGCCTTTCATCCCGCGCAACCCACAGTGCTCCGTGGAAGAGAATGCCGGCTGAGAACAAACGGTAAGTAAGATGCCGTCGAGCGCGCGTACCCAGATGGAAACCCGTGGGAACTGGCCAAAAGCTTGTCAAGACTTCAACATGGTTGGGGGGGAGGAATAAACCCTCCCCCAAATCCCTTAACTACAGTTTTAAAATAAATTCTGACGCTTTTCTTAAACAAGGGCTGTGTCTACAACAGACCTGACTTTCAGTATATCTTCGGCACTCGACTGTCTGCAATCAGCCTCACCCTTCACAAAACGACACATTTTGTTCATAATGAGCCATCACCGAATTCTTCCAAGAGCTCGACCATGCTCCGCAGTTTGAGAGATCCAGATATTTTCCTAGAGATCTTGTCATCGGCATCACTCAGTTCAGGGAAGCAAATGTTCTCACAGAGGGGACTCAAGCAAGAACTTGGACTCCATTTGCTGTCCCCCACCTATTTCAAGTATTTATAACCATTAAAAAAGAAACAACCACTTTATATTTGTGCGTTGACAACCAAGCAGGACAAATAAGAAATATTTGTCACAGTTCCTCAGCACCCCTCCGCCAGTAGTCTCCCAAAAGGATGCAGACTGCTCCAAACACAATCAAATGACAAATTAGCCCAGAACTCCTCTGTGAGAGGAATAAATTGTTCTCACTTCCTCACCAACTACAATGACCTGTGACTAATGGGATCTCTGTGGAAAGAGGCTAGAGTTCCCTCCACAGGGAATGTGGGCGCTTCTGCTGCTGGAGGGACTTTGTGCAAAGGCTTCCCTTGCTGCTGCGAGTGCTCACAGGCACTCAGCAATGTGTAAAGATGGGGGACTTCCACCCCTCATCCCCCGTTGGAGGGATGTTTGCAGTCAGAATAATGAGGCAGCTCTCCACTCAACAAATAGCTAATGCCTGCCTCGACACTTCCACGCCTTCCTCCTCCCCTCCCGGTTGCTTGTAGCAACTATTTCTGGCATGATGAAGCATCCACACTAAAAATACGGTAATGTTTAATAAGATCCCAGGGAGGGGGGAGAGAGAGAGGGAAGGAGAAAAGGGGGGTGGGGGAAGAGAGAGAAGAAAGGAGAGAGAAGATGACAGCAACTTTACCTTCAGGTTTTAAATCAAGCACAGAGAAGGAGCATTTCTGCTTCTCCGAAGCTTTATTTTATTGTGCAGAGATGCACTGATTGAACGGGGGACACAAGTCAAGCAATTAATTGGCTCCAAAGTAAAATCAGCCAGGGACAAAAACAAGTATCCCAAGTCACCATTGTTCCAACCCCAGAGCACCTTGCTAACCATAGCCCCAAGTCCCCTCCACTTCCTCTAGTGTATCTCCACTTCTTCTAGTGTATCTCCACTTCCTGTCATGTCTCTCCACTTCCTGTGGTGTGTCTCCACTTCCTGTGGTATGTCTCCACTTCCTCCGGTGTGTCTCCACTTCCTCCGGTGTGTCTCCACTTCCTGTGGTGTGTCTCCACTTCCTCTGGTGTGTCTCCACTTCCTCTGGTGTGTCTCCACTTCCTGTCGTGTGTCTCCACTTCCTGTCGTGTGTCTCCACTTCCTGTCGTGTGTCTCCACTTCCTCTGGTGTGTCTCCACTTCCTGTGGTGTGTCTCCACTTCCTCTGGTGTGTCTCCACTTCCTGTGGTGTGTCTCCACTTCCTGTGGTGTGTCTCCACTTCCTCTGGTGTGTCTCCACTTCCTCTGGTGTGTCTCCACTTCCTGTCGTGTGTCTCCACTTCCTGTCGTGTGTCTCCACTTCCTGTCGTGTGTCTCCACTTCCTCTGGTGTGTCTCCACTTCCTGTGGTGTGTCTCCACTTCCTGTGGTGTGTCTCCACTTCCTGTGGTGTGTCTCCACTTCCTCCGGTGTGTCTCCACTTCCTCCGGTGTGTCTCCACTTCCTCCGGTGTGTCTCCACTTCCTGTGGTGTGTCTCCACTTCCTCTGGTGTGTCTCCACTTCCTCCGGTGTGTCTCCACTTCCTCCGGTGTGTCTCCACTTCCTGTGGTGTGTCCCCACTTCCTCCGGTGTGTCTCCACTTCCTGTGGTGTGTCTCCACTTCCTCCGGTGTGTCTCCACTTCCTCCGGTGTGTCTCCACTTCCTCCGGTGTGTCTCCACTTCCTCCGGTGTGTCTCCACTTCCTCCGGTGTGTCTCCACTTCCTGTCGTGTGTCTCCACTTCCTGTCGTGTGTCTCCACTTCCTGTCGTGTGTCTCCACTTCCTGTCGTGTGTCTCCACTTCCTGTGGTGTGTCCTCCACTTCCTCCGGGGTGTCTCCACTTCCTGTGGTGTGTCTCCACTTCCTGTGGTGTGTCTCCACTTCCTCCGGTGTGTCTCCACTTCCTCCGGTGTGTCTCCACTTCCTCTGGTGTGTCTCCACTTCCTGTGGTGTGTCTCCACTTCCTGTGGTGTGTCTCCACTTCCTCCGGTGTGTCTCCACTTCCTCCGGTGTGTCTCCACTTCCTCCGGTGTGTCTCCACTTCCTCCGGTGTGTCTCCACTTCCTCCGGTGTGTCTCCACTTCCTCCGGTGTGTCTCCACTTCCTCTGGTGTGTCTCCACTTCCTGTGGTGTGTCTCCACTTCCTGTGGTGTGTCTCCACTTCCTCCGGTGTGTCTCCACTTCCTCTGGTGTGTCTTGTGGCCTCTGTGTTCCTTGTGGTACCACCAAGTTCCAGGGATAGCCTGAGCATCTCAGGCACTCTGCATCTGACTCCTGCCTCCTCTCATTCCCCCCTCCCCTACCTGCCTACAAGACCAGGACTCAGGCCAGACAAACGCTCTCCAGGGGAGTCCTGCAAACAGTGGGTCTTCAAGGGTGGGCCCAGAACCATTGTGAATTTCTCTTTTTTTTGTTTTTGTTTTTGTTTGTTTGTTTGTTTTGTTTTGTTTTTCGAGTCAGGGTTTCTCTGTATTGTTTTGGAGGCTGTCCTGGAACTCGCTCGGTAGACCAGGCTGGTCTTGAACTCACAGAGATCCGCCTGCCTCTGCCTCCGGAGTGCTGGGATTAAAGGCATGTGCCACCAATGTCCGGCCCATTGTGAATTTCTAAGAAACAAACCTGTTACAGTGTTGCGTGTGAAATGTCTCCACAGGGTCTGGTCTTTGAACATTCACTCCCCAGCCAGAGGTGCTGTTTGGGGACATTGTGAAACCTTTAGAGCAGCGGTTCTCAACCTGAGGGACACAACCCCTTTGGGGTGGGGGAGGGGGTGTGGTCAAATGACCTTTTCATGGAGACCTCCTAAGGCCATCGGAAAGTCCAGATATTTATATTGCAATTCATAACAGTAGCAAAATTGCAGTTATGAAGTAGCAAAGAAAATAATTTCATGGTTGGGGTCACCACACATGAGGAACTGTATTGAAGGGTCACAGCATTAGGAGGGTTGAGAACCACTGCTTTAGGGGGTGACACACGGACGTGGAAGAACGCTGGAAATGGGCCTTGGGTTATATAACTAACCGTACTTCAGGCCCAAGCTTTCAGATTTCTGGTCTACCAAGATGAGATCAAGCAGCCTCACAGTCTTATTGCCACAGCCACAAGCCACTCTCCGCACCATAAGTACTGTCACAAACACCACCATGACTTCTGAAATAAAGCCTCCCCGCCCCTGGCCCCTGAGCAGCTTCTTGTTGCGGGATTCCTGCCTAGGTTCCGTTGTCAGTTTAGTCCCCAAATAACACACAGGACACTGTATTAATTATAAGCTGTTGGCCATTTGTTATTGTTTCTCATTGGCTAGCTCTGACTTAATTATTGACCCATAATCACTAGTACAGACTTGCGTCCCCTCTTTCCGGGGATCAGATGGCGATGGCTCAGTTCACTACATTTCCCAAAATCCTCCTAGACTCCTAGTCCCACCTATCTTGCTTCCCTATTGGCCAACAGTGCTTTATTGACATATACACAGGACTTTCCCCATCAGCTTCTTGCAGATGTTTTGTCACAATTACAAGCAAAGAGACTAGTGCAGAGAACTTTCTCCTGCCTTGTCTCCCTCCTCACCTCCTTGGGCCCAGCAAGAGGAATGGCTTTCCGAGTCAAGCTGTCCATCCTCTCGGGAGGGGTAAGTAACAGCCCACACGGCCTCCCCAGGCACCATGCAAATATAGTCACATCCTCACAACTCTATGCTGAACAGCTGGGATGCAGACAGGAAGACTGTCAAGCGTTAATAATGACTTTGCTTTGACAACAGGCTGCTTTCTTTTCTGCTATTCCCAATCCATCACCTGAAGTACCAGCCGGTAGCTCACAGCATTGCTGAGAACTCCACAAGGAAAGGGATTGGCAGAAGAGAAATCAGCTGAGGGCTTACCAGACAGATGAAGTGTTGGACGGCCCGGGGAGTTGGGGGGTAGTGAGGAATGAAATCATCCCGCACGCCCTTACCAGTGGCTGTCTGTTGCCTAATGCGTGTAGGTGTCTGAGCCGACCCTCTGCAGGACAGCTGTGTCCCCAAGTATTCCAGTTACACCACAGTGAGGGTGCTTGAGAAATTTCCACTGGATGCACGTCACATCATCGACTTCCCAGGAGCACAAGTATGAACAGATAGTGGACCACAGAGACGCAAAAGCCTCTGAAAGTGGGACAGAGGTTAGGAGAAGACAGAGTTCCATCACTTTACAATAGATCAGTGGAGGCTTGAGGAGGACTAGGTGGAACCCCATATAGATAGGCTGTGTTCCAGGTCCCATTTGTCACCATACTAAATACAAGAAACCTGTGCAAGATTCCTCAGTGGTGACCATCAGTCATAGCCCCTGCTTTACGATGACCACATAACCTGATCCAGTCTCCAGGTAAATGCCTGTCATGTTCTCATTCCACATCCACCCAATGTCACAAGCCTTTCCTGGATGACACCCCCCTTTCTCCCACCTCAACTCATGTAATCGCCAGCAGAGATGAGCTGTGCCTTGGTCACGGGGTGAAGTTGTCACTCCTTCCCCATTGAGCACATGAAACCCTCCCAACCACGGCAACTGAGTTACAGGTGCACAGGTCCTCAAAGGATGAAGGAGACCTTTCACTGACATCTGCAGTGGGTCTTTCTTCTCTGAGACAGGTGAGTGTGAGTAGAACTTTCTTTCCCTCAAGGAAGTCTGAGGCGATGCCAAGACTGACACCAGGAAGGTCATAAAACCTCATCTTGATGACATGATTTGGTCCCCAAGTCTATAACGTGCATGAATGTAGCTTAAACCATAAATTTGCTCTTATATAAGATACCAAATTCCCTTGCTTTCTGTGGCCCAGGTCAACATATGTTTGCATCACCTACAAACTTGGATAACAGATATTCTGAGAGGAGGCAAAGCCATCAATCACTAAGGAAAGTCAAGTTCTAAGATGCTTCTGGTCTACATTCTGGTCCACAGCTCCCACCTCAGCCCACCCCAAACCCATCTGTGGTTGACCCTGCTAGTGAGCCTCATGCTAAGACCCCTTTAAATTCCCAACGCTCTCGGAATATAGGACATTAAAAAGAAGTCTCATGCATAGTGCTGACGGGATGGTGAACAATCAAACGGTGCCCTCTCAAAAACATGTTTGCAAATCGGTGGAAACCAGCATGTGGAACATTGCAATTAAAATAAGGAAAAGGTGATAGTGATACCAACTAAAAAGTGCCTAAGTTCCTCTCCCGTAGGAAATATTCCAAAGCCAACCCAACTCATGGGGAAAACTGCTGGCGCTCATTCTCCCGCGCTGTTCTCCATAATTCTCTTATCCTTTGGGCATTTTGTGGCTCTGTCTCCTTTTATAGCACACAGCAGTAGCAGCAGTTGGTACCTTAAATGTGTGTGAATTACATAAAAGGCGATCCTGATTAGAGCTGAAGGTTTTAATTAAATGAGCAATTAGCCTTGAGCATGGATGTTTATACAAAAGGAAAATCAGCTAATTAATTTGGATAATGACTTGCTCCTGCGAACATGAGCCTGCCCGGGGCTTAGTGTGGCAAGAGGGGAAGGCCATGGTGGAGAGAGTGTTTGCACCCTGTGGTTAACAAGTGGGGAAACAGCTGGGGTCAGGCTGGGGTCCCTACCAAGGGAAAGTCACATGTCATTATTAAGTGGCCTGGGACACCTCGACGTCCCCCAGCCCTTCACCCAAGGAACACAATACATCTTCCTACCAACTGTCTAGATCTCCACTGAAGGCTCCAGGACCTCTCCCTGCAGGCACATCTGATGCTGAAGCTGCATGGACCTAGTCACCAAGAGAAAAGCAGCACCGAGAGGCAAAGTGACCGCGGTGGTGGTAATTGTCAACTCAACAGAACCTGGAATCAGGTGGGGTGTGGGCCCCTGGGCACGGCTGTGGAGATCATAGTGATTGGGTGAGAAGACTCGTCCACTGTGGGTGGGGCCATTCCCTGGCTGGGCTCTCCCACTGTGGATGAAGAGGGTGATCTGAGAACAGCAACATAGATCCCTTTCTCCTTTCCGACTATGGACACTGTGTAACCAACTGCTTCAAGCTCCTGCTGTCTTGGCATCTCACTACGATGGACAGTATCCTTGAGCTGTGAGCCGAAGCAAGCCCCCTTTCCTTTACATTTTTGTCAGGTTATTTTATCACAGCAACGAGAGAAGATACTAAGTCACCATCCAATCTCTCAGCCAAGACTTAACTCAGGAATGCGACAATGTTGGCTGGGCTTGATTTTGTCAGTTCCTGGGGGAAAACAACCAAGAGACTTGCAATGGTTCTAGATTAGTTTCTGCTAAATCATTTAAAATTTGGAACCAAGAAGGGAGTTTTTGTTGGTTTTATGTTGTTGTTGTTGTTGCTGCTGCTGCTGATTTGGTTTTGTTTGCTTGGGAGTGAAATCTCTGTATTAATTTGTGTCTCCCTACCCCACTCATACAAGAATGGAAATCGTCCTACTTCCTTGAAAACAGTGTTGTAGCATGACTGAGGCCAGTGGTAGCCAATGTTCAAGGCTACCTACCTTGCAGAAGGTTGTCAAAACCACTAATGCTTGTATCAAAACACTAATAAAAGGACATATGGACTGTGGCATCTTTAAATTTTTAGAGCGGGGACTGGAGAGATGTCTCGGCAGTTGAAAATATGCACTGCTCTTAGAGAGGACCTGAACTCAGTTGCCAGCACTCATACCAGGTAGCTCACACTGCCTATGACGACAGTTCCAAAGGACATTCAGCACCTCTGGCCTCTGCAGGACACCGGCACACATGTGCACACGAGTGCACACACATGCATAACTAAAATTCAAATCTTGCCATTTTACTGCATGAGCATGGTAGGAGTTGCCCAGAGGCTCTCAGTGTTCACTCTCCATCCCTTTCTCCACTAAGCCAAGTTATCTGAAAGTAGCCCACTGATTTTGGTTGTATTTTACTCTTTTGGCTTTTGGGGGTGGGGTGCCACCCAGCTCCCATATAAAACACACACACAGAGACTTATTATTTCTTATTTCTAATGCCCATTCTAACCAAGCTTTTCATAAATTATCCCAACTACCTTTTACCTCTGGGCTTTTTTCTTGTTACTTCTATATAGCGTACCTTCACTCTTACTCTATGGCTGGCTGGGTAGCTGGGTGGTTGGCCCCTGATGTCCTCCTCTCCTTTTTCTCCTGCTTCTTCCTCTCTCTTGCTCCTCTTTCTTTCCAGATTCCTCCTTCTATCTATACTCTCTGCCTGCCAGCCCTGCCTATCCTTTCTGCTGCCTCGTTATTGACTGATCAGCTCTTCATTAGACTATTAGATGTTTTAGACAGGCAAAGAATCACAGCTTTACAGAATTAAACAAATGCAGCATAAACAAAAGCAACACATATTTACATCATTAAAAATGTTCCAGAGCATAAACACATGCAACACACCATAAAATAATATTTTGCAACAGCCTACAGGTGTTCAACCTTTGGAAAGTGCAGTGTCTTTTGCACAGCCCTTCTGGGCAAGCCTCTGAACCATGACAGGTAAGTTTCTAAACAGCCCACCACCACCAACCCTGGGTTCCATGTATTCCCTGGGTCTATTATCACATTTTCAACCCATCTTCCTACCCCCAGGCAACACTGTCATTGCTCCAGCTTCCTACATACAGAAGACACATTCCAGAACAGGTGATTTGCATCCTTCCTCATCAAAAGACAAGGGATTCCAAACCTACCCAGTCTACCTTCCAAGTTTGTTTTAGATTTCGTGTGTGTGTGTGTGTGTGTGTGTGTGTGTGTGTGTGTGTGTGTGTGATGTATGCTGGTGCCAGAGGAGGGAGTTAAATCTCCTGAAGTCACAGACAGTTGTGAGCCAACCAATGTGGGTGTTAGGAGCCCAACTCAGGCCTTCTGATTCTCTTGTCTTTGCAGTTGTGAGGCTAGCCTTCAATGGCTGGACCATCTCTCCAACTCTCTGCACTCCCAAATTAATGGGAAGAGATGGCTTGCCCTAAAGCTTGCAGCTGTGAGATTCTAAATAGATTCAAATTGCAAGGAAGGAACAGCTCTGAGAAGACATCGCCAACATGCCAACGGCGGAGGGGTCCAGACCTTGATGGATGTGCCGATAGTTGCTGAGGAGTCAAAGATGTCCACACGCTTCCTGAAGAGCAAACGAGAAAAGCCAGGAATGGAAGAAAAGGGTCACCACACGCCTCGGACCTGATAGAAACGGGAGGGCTGAGGATGTAGACATGGCTCAGTGGAAGTGTTGAGGGAAAGCGCATGGAAACTTGAGAGACACGAGCAGACAGAGAGCTCCACACTGAAAGATAGATGACCAAGCATGTACTGTCTGGTCTTGTTGTAGAATGTCAGTGTGGTCTGTTCAGGAGTCAACTCGAGCTCTGCGGTTCACATGGCTGAAATATTTTAGAACCAAATGTGGGGCAAGAGTTATTCCACTACATAATGCTGAGTTTGAATTTCATGCTGAACTTCTCGACACAGATGCTTCTGTTCCCATATGCCCCGGACACAGCATGTCTGTGACCTGTGACATGGCATGAAGCTGAGGGACAGTCGGTCCCCAGAAATCCTAACGGTTAACAGGGAAAAGACTGGAATTCATATGTCTTTTTTAAAAGAACCACAAACTGGTGTTGCTGGCCTAATGGCATTCTAAATTTCCCAGTGTTGACCTCTTCCTAGATGCTGAAGCATGATGGGAAAGTGAGCAGCTTTGTTTGTCGTCCAACCCACTTGGAAGAAGAACTAGTCCCAAGGGCTAGCAGAGGCATCTCCACCCTCAGAGAGCGGAAGTGAGACTGTCTGGGGGAAGGAAGCGGTTGTATAGATGGGGTGAGGAGAAGGGGAAACATGGGGAGGTGAACGCTGTCAAAGGACATGGTGTCCTGGGTGACTTGTTCTGCTGAGGTCACTGTGGACTCCAGTAAAGGATTAAGGGGTCAACAAACCAGCTCTGACAGCTCCTAGCTCAATGTTGGCCTAGAGGGAGCTAGATCTACACTGGAGAGTCACTGTGGACAAAGCAAGCTCCAATACCAGATGTCCTAGTTACAGAGACATGGGGGCTGGAGATGGGAGTCAAAACATCATGGATGAAAATCACAGGAGGGATTCCAATCTATTCTGACATAGGGGGGAGGGAGGAAGGAAGGGAGAGAGAGAGACAGACAGAGAGAGAGAAAGAGAGAGAGAGACACACACAGAGAGAGACAGAGAGACAGAGAGAGAGAGAGAGAGAGAGAGAGAGACTTAAAACAACAAGGTGAGTTGCCCCTGAGAAAAAACACTGGAAAGTTGACCTCTGGCTTCCACACACTCCCACATGAATATGCAAACACACTACATGCCTGGGCATAGGACTTACACACACACACACCCATGCTTGTATGTACACAAGACCCACAGCACTGCCTGTCAGTGTCCTTGGTCCAGCAAAACCAAGACCACTGACTCCTTGCTCCAGATCAGCCCTGTCCACCAAGTTCAGCTCTGACATCCAACCACTTTGTTCCCTATGGGGGGGGTCAATGTTGACACAAAATCTTCCAAAATTCCCCCAAATAATTACACACAGAGTAATTACACAGGGACCACCTAAATGGCTTCGATTTCAATGTTACAAAAATACTTTATTTTCAAATTCCCTGAATATGATTCAGCCTACTGGTGCATCACAAGCTATTACAAGAAAGATAAGCACGTGTGTCCTTTCCACAGAACATTCCCTGATAACTAAACAAGCCGTCCAGGGGTCAGGATCTAGGCTGCGGGGTTATTGCTGTATATGGAAGAACATGGTGCAGTGTGTCCCTGTGCTGGTGTCTTTGGAGTACTACTTAGGGAGCAAGAATGTCAACACTAATATACCACAGTGACCATGGGACACAACATCGCCTACAGTCTCCCTGACAACTCTCACAGTGCCAGCTACTGGGGGGAGGAACACTGTGGACCCCAGAGCATAGAGTGGAAGACAGCCTGAGATGGTGACAAAATGAAGACGTACGCTGTTTAGTTCTGACAAGCAAGAGAACTTGATAATGAAGACACCGGAAAAGAGATGCTGTGGGAAGTGAGAGAGGGGGAGGGCGGATGGTTACCTGTGGTCAAGTGCAAGAGTGTAGAATGTGGGAACTGAAGAGTGAGAGGGGGAGGGGGTGGAGGAGGCTAGCTGGTGAGCTGCGGCCACTGCGAGGGCTTCTTTGTTAAAGGCCTTGGGTATGAGATTAGGAACCTAACACCCGTAGACCACAGCCTTGAGGAACATCCTGCCTGGAGACCCAGGAACATCAGGAAGATTCCAAGGATCAGCGTGCTATGGTTTTACAAGGAAGCCCCCACCACATTCTCCACATCCTAGGTCTCCTACAGAGAAGTTAAAACCATCCTCTGCTCTCCCAGGCGCAACAGAAAACCTGGCATCTCGGTTCAGTGTCTGCCTCCCACCTCCACATTCTTCCAGGAGAGCTTCAAGCCCCGTGCAGAACAAAACTGACCGCTCCTAATAGCCACAGAAAGGTCCAGGCCATTTGGTTCCCACACACAAAGCCCTCTCGGCCTCTGTGGAGTTGGCTTTTTACTATTTGACATTTAAAAAAATAGTGTTTCTCCATGTGTATCATCCCTGAAACCCATGGCAGTGGCTTCACATACAAATAGGACCGTTGAGAGATCGTGCTGTTCCTTCCAGCCTCCATAAAAGCTCAGGAGCATGTCACAGCCACCGAGTGTTCTCTTCTGTCTCAATAATTCATTACGGTGTTAATAGGCCAGCGTTCTCTGCAAATGTGGAGCAAGATGCAGACATGGTTCAAGTTTCCCTCACAAATTCCCTCAATCTGGAGGAAAAATCAAGGCAAGTTTCCTTGTCTTTCTGTGCTTCCATTCCATTCATTTTTCAACCAAGGCCATTTTCCAACGAGAAACTTCTGTGTGTTTTAACATGGAATCGCTTTATTTTCGGTGTGTGACTGGGTCCTCTGTGAACCCACGTGCTGGGAGGACATTCTGCAGCGGCAAGGTTGCCATTTTCAGGGGTGTGACACCTGATCATTTGAAAAAGACATTGTGGCTGGCACCTGTAGTCCCAACACCCAAGAGACTGAGACAGGAGGATAGCAGTGAGTTTCAGTGCAGTTTGAGCTACACAGTGAGTTCCAGGTCAGCCTTGGCCACTGCCTGAGACCTTGTCTCAAAAAGCCAAAGAATTAGAAGGAAGTCCTTCCCTATAGTTCCCATCACGAAGGAAACTATCTCTGTATCCATGGCAACTTAAGATGCAACAGAGAACTTGAACCTGGAGTAATTTGAACCAGGACTGTCCGTAGCAAAGAATTGGGCATGCATGGCCTCAATCCTTTCCAGTGGCTTTGTATGATGGTCAAATTACTGTGTCAGCTTGACTGAACTATAGTACCCAGACATTTGGATCACAAATTTACATATACAGCCTCTGAAAAAGAGACTGCCCTTCATATGCGGATAGGCCTCATACAACTGGCTGAATTTTGCCAGTCAGTGACTTTGGACTTGAGCTAAGAACATGAACTCTTCCCTGGTTCTCCAGCTTGCTTGCCCACCC